TACCCGACGTCGGACCCGCTCAGTGCCTACCGCGTCGACGAGATCCTTGCCGCGTCCGACGACATTACTGCCAAACTCCGTCCATACTATTTTGAGTTGGATGCGGCGAAGAGGCTCGCGATTGCAAAAGAGCTCACTGCGGACACGCTCCCAACCTTGTTTGCATGCGTCGAGGCGCGGCTCGTTGCAGCTGCTGCCAAGGGCCCGTATCTCTTGGGTGAGATGCTCTCGCTCGCTGACTTTGAGTTGTTTGTCGTACGCATGATCGTGCGGTCCGGGGAGTTGGCTGATATTCCCACGACGCTCTGCGGTGCATACCCGCGCTGGAATGAGATCGCAGACGCCGTCGCCGCTCTGCCCAAGGTCCAGGCATGGTACGCTAACCATCCATGAGAACGGCCATGCGCGTTGACGAGACGCCACGTAATAAACTTGTATTTTGTATCGGACGATGGAGAGGAAAATCATGCATGGCGAGTATCGTCCCGCACGCCGATGCGCTGCTGGCGTTATGCCGGCGTCGTCATGCTCACGAGCGGGACAGACGCGTTTCAGGAGGTGCTAGTGTAAATGCACTTATAGCCGCCTGCTGTGTGATACGCGCAATAGAGAGGGCATCGACGTTGCTGGCGTCGACTCGGCTCAAGGACGGGACGGAGAGCACAATAGAATTGCACAGTACCCACGCACAATAACGCATTGCGTCTAGTTTGTCCAAGCACGAGCGTCGGTGTCCGATCATCGAGCGATCATTGGCGTTAGGGTTGGGCTGGTCACAGCTTCGAGCCCCGGTAGACATTTATGTTTTTTAATGCCATAGGTACAGTACGAATGGTCGCAAGAATTGTACTGGGTAGGCAATATATGTATGTGGATTAATGTTCTTACTAGGAGTGTCCATGAATCCATACACTTATTTCGTCTTTCCGTCCTGAGAGCGCACACAAGCATCAATGCTTCGTGTCATTCCTACCAATACCGCGCTGCTGCCGGGAAGGCAGCCGTAGTATCACGATGGCAACGCAAACTTGCGTTAAGCCTTAAGGAACATGGTGCAGTCACATCGGGTGAATATGGGCCACCGTTAATAACGAGTCCTCTGCTCATGGAACAGTGCCGAACACCTAATGCCCAAGGACACCATCCCTGGGGCCATCGATGGGCTCTTGGATTTCGGTGCTGTTCCAGAGTCAACAGTGCATGCCATTGATAGAGCCCGCGGGTTGTTGGATTGACTCATTTCAATCAAAGCGCGATCTCTCGGCCAATCATATCCACTGCAAAGATCCAATGTGCGACCTCGATGACGCGCCATCTCTGGGCCATAAGCCACCAAGACCCAGCTCCAACACAGGCTCCAACACGTTCACTTTTGAATTTGACTTATCATGTCCCCACCGACGCTCAAGCTCAC